CAGGCTTCCCCTCCTGCCTGGCTCCGCTCTCATCTCTGGTTTTGATTCAGAGCGTCCTGCCTGCACTTTGTTCCGTGTTTTGTTTTGTTTTTAATTCCTTTCCTCTTTATGCTGCACTGCCCTTCTTCCATTCCTTCCCTTCCCATTTCTCTTTTTTACCCCTTTCTCTTATTCCAGACTACTCCTGACAAAACACAAATTGCAGGCATCTTGCAACTTGTTAAACCTATACTAAGGAGTAAATATAAATAAATATACTAGTATATCATATGAATTATTTATGCAGCATATAAATTATATGTAAACCATGTAAATTATATACACCATACAAATTACAAATATATATATAGATAGGAAGACTGGTGAGTGATGGCCACACCAACTGCCCCCATTCTCAATAATTCACTTGGCCACACGCTGACCTGACAGCTCAGGGAAGGCCTGCAGGGCAGTCTTGCAAACTCAGACCTAAAGTCACCACAAATGATGGTCTGAAATTAAACTTCAACTAAAAGCAGTGATGGTGGGCAGTTACATCCTCAACCGGTATCTTCACTGACAAGGTCAACCTTTACCTTAACTGAGCCTATCTATCTTTTTGGATCTATTATAACACACCCTTGAAATGTCTGGGTAACTTGTAACCTCCCTTTTTCAGGACCCCTTGGGGCACAACCTAAAGTGCCTGGGCGCCAGGACAGAGACCACAAATTCCTTCATTATCATGTTAATTGATCCTGCACCCACCTAAGCATGTGTCCATCATTTTACTTTTTATCCAATCCCAGGGGTTTCCCCCAGCCCCTGCTTTGCTTTCTCCCACCTCGCTAATCTATCACCAGTTTTCATGTAACCCACCTACATCCCTCCTTTGATTGCAATGTATAAAAATAGATGAGAAACCGCCATTCTCTGGAGCATTATCTCAAACCGTTGAGGTTCTGCTTCCTAGCAATTGTCAACAGTTTGGCTCAAATAAACTCAGAAAATTATTTTACAGGTTTGAATGTTTTTATGTTAACATTACCATTTAGTGAGGACTTACCATGCTTCAGACAATTGCATTTTTCTATGTATTCTTTTACTCAAACATCGCAACAGTTTCAGGGTGAAGATATGACTAGCTTCCTCATACAGATGAGGAAACGAAGGCCCAGAGAAGTCACCTGTCCTCAGGTCACACAGCAAAGGCAGAGAGTGGGACACACGGACCCAGAGTCCACACTCCGGGACTCCCTGGCACGGCGAGGCTGCTCTGTGTGAGACACAAGACTAGTCTGGGATCCTTGAGGTCCTCAAATAACAGGTCTGGCCGTGTGGGATATACAGTCTCCTGTTGTAGAGGGAAAAGCAATGCGCAGATCTGAGACATCTTAGCCTCACCAGGACCAAGAAAGTACAAGCTCCTCGCTTGTAAAGAGCTTGCTTCCTTCCTTTCACTGAAAGGCAAGGTGTTGTCACCACTCGCTGCAGATGCACGAGCTCTCAGATGAGTGACCAATTCTCAAACCTCACACAGAGCCAGAACTTTGTTTTTATTCTTCTAAAAATGCCTTAAGTATCTGAATTGGAGACCCTGATTTGTCTAGCAAAACATGCTTATATGTTCTTAATAAAAAAGAAAACCTCAGAAATCAGTTTTGGTTCTTTGTTGTCAGACACCTTAAAACAAACTTGCCAACTGCATGGTGACGAGTTGATTCATAAGCAAATAAAATGTTCCAGGCATTTGCAGAAATGTCATCAGCATCCTCTTTAAGCCTCCTTTAAGCGAACGTGGTCCCGCTCATAGGTAGATCAAATACCTTATTCTCTCAAATTAAAATCACTTCACGCTTCCTACCTCAAATGAGCAGGAGGTCCACCCTTTTCCTAGGAGCCTCCGCTGCTGCCTCTCAGTTGTTCACAAGTAACTGCGGGTTTTCAGTCCAGAGAGGCTGTTCTGCGCCCAAAGGCCCTCCTGAAAGCAAATGAAGAGTCCTCCAGCGCACAGGGCAGTCCAGCGCGTGGCTCTCGCTTTGGATGTACTGCAAACTGGTTCCACAAAGTCCAAGGTTTTTGTCTGTGAGTCCAGGTGGCTGCAGGGCCCTCAGTACCTGGTGCATCGCTCCTGAGTTCTCAAAGGGGCAATTTTTAAACTGCATTTGTAGTCATTGTTCCCAATCACGCCAAGGTGGTTGGGATATAGGGAGGGGCCAGGCTCAGCCTGAGCCACACAGGGTGAGAATAAACGCCCCCCCCCCGCCCCGGTGTGCAGCCCAGGTCACAGGCCCACATTTCACTAATGGGGAGTCCCTCAGGGGACTTCATCCCTGAGAGAGGTGCTAATGATGCTAACCTCAAAATGGAAGAGAGGAGAGATCTGAAGCCCTAGCTCCTCCCCAGACACCTGACTGTACCCGAGAGGCTTCTGGGGAGGATGGCCTCTGTCAGCCAGTGCTTGGGTTGGGCTTCCGCAAGGGCAAAAGGGGCCCAACTGCCCTGTATTTGCATTTGGGTATCTTGCTAAGCCTACTTACTCGCAAGAGATGACTGCTTGTAAATGGCAACTCCTCTCACTAAAAAAAAAAAAAAATCAGGTTCACATCACAAGACTTTCTTGGGTAAGAGTTGTTTAGGGGACTGATTTTTTAAAAAAGGTACACGGCACCCTCGCCGATTTGGCTCACTGGATAGAGCGTCGGCCTGGGGATTGAAGAGTCCCGGGTTCGATTCCGGTCAAGGCCATGTACCTTGGTTGCAGGCACATCCCCAGTATGGGGTGTGCAGGAGGCAGCTGATTGATGCTTCTCTCTCATCGATGTTTCTAACTCTCTATCCTTCTCCCTTCCTCTCTGTAAAAAATCAATAAAATATATATATTTTTTAAAAAAGTACACGGCAATGTGCAGGTTCTCAGGGTGGAGTCTCCTGGGTAGCTGATAGCATTTATTGTTTTGACGTAAAATAGTTTGGAGCTGCAGATATCGGTTAAGCCCTGATGTGCCCTGTAATGCCAACAACTTTCCCAGATCTGAGAATCCTATATAATAAAAGCCTAATATGCAAATTTCCCCCTCGACTGGGAGTTCGACCACTCACTATGACGTGCGCTGACCACCAAGGGGTGGCGCGGAACATGGCGGGAGTTGGCGATGCGGCGCTGGCAGCAGGCAGCAGTGGAGGTGCTGACAGCACCAATGGGCCCCCGATGAGAGCAGTATCGCGGTGGGATGGTGGAGCAGGTGAGCAGGCAGCACCAGGCCAAGGCGGGTGCGAGCAGGGGGGCCTGATTGCTCCACAGATGGTGACCAGCAGCGGCGGCAGCTGCCCGGCTCCCAGGTGCTAAGAAAGCCGGGCAGGGGCCCGATCACCCCGCCGATCGCTCCGCAGACGGCAACCAGTGGCAGCTCTGACACTTCCATTACAGAGAAAGGGGAAATAGCAATATTAAAATATTTCTTCTAATTATTTTCTTTTCAATGTGCACAAATCCGTGCACCAGGCCACTAGTGTATATCATAGACATTTATGCTTGGACAATGTATCACAGAATCATCCCTCTTAAGGGATGAAACTTAAAAAAAGGAATTTCATCCCAATCCAAATTAGATAAATTTTAATATATAAATTGTTTTCCACAATACATCTATAAGAGAAATAAAATAGATTCCAAGTCCAAGTACAGAGAGTGCATTTTCAACATGGAAGACCAATCAGATACGCCTAAAGTAACAGTACTGAGGAGTTCCCTGTGTGTTGGCCGCCGAGAACCCTGCTCCTATTAACTCATTCAATCCTCACAAGAACAGCATGAGGTAGGTATGATCATCACCCCCACATTCCACATGAATTTAGGCAAAGAGAGATCAAGTAATTTGACCAATGTCATCCAGCTGACGGGTGACAGAGCTGAAATGGCAGACCCAGGCACAGTCTGGCTTGGAGCATATGACCTTGACCGTTATAGATGTTACTGATTAATTAATCCAATAAATGTTTAATGAGCATCTAATCTATCCAAGGCATTGTGCTAAACACCGTAGGCATTCAGAGAATGCAGGGTCCCTGCACTCAAGAAGCCCAATGTTGATTGCTGCCTCCACTACAGCGGTCGGGTGTGGTTACTTCCATTAGCCCGAACCTTCTCTCCGCCCATTACCCTGCTGTGCTGCTAGGTCCTGGAGTTTCATGCCCCAACCACAAACTCAGGAGTTGAGCAAAATCTTACACCTCAGTTGATCTTTTCATTTTACAGATGTGAAAACTGAAGTACAGAGAGTGTCTTGCTAGCTCTCAAGGTAAATGATAAAGTGCAACTAGGATGCAGGTCTCTCATCTCCCAATCACTAGAATATGTTCATAGAAATGCATATGAGTGAAATTGGTGCAAGTTCAATTATATTTTCTACTCCTAAATGGAGGTTTCTGTTGAAAGGACTCAGCAGTAAAAGATTCCATGAGGGCAATTATCTATATACATAAAAGGCTAAGTGTCCCCTCAGGAATTCAACCGGGAGAATGGGAGTTCGATTGCTTGCTATGCTGTGTGCTGACCACGAGGGGGCGATGTGGAACATGGTGGGCAAGCAGCGGCAGTGGGATGCTGAGGGAGCAAGGGAAGGAGGAGGGAACCTGATCCACCCTGATCACTGGCCAGGCCTAGGGACCCTACCAGTGCACAAATTTCGTGCACCAGGCCTCTAGTCATTTTATAAAGGGAATAATAATGAGCCACCATCAGGCTGAAGCCCATCTTTTATAAATCCTGGTATTCATATACTGAATTTGATAAAATTAGAAAAAAAGAACTTTGGTTATCTTATCAGCTGGCAAACTAATTAACTAATACTATGAGACTGTAGGGAGTGCCCCTCCTGTAAAAAGTGGGATATTCTCAGAATCACTACAGGAGGTGTTTTTAAATTGCTCTTTCCCACTTAAGAGACCGTAATGAAGTGTCCTAATCAAATCCCACTCTATAAAGCATTTCCAGACCAACACAGTGCAGTGGCCTCCTCCCGAGCTCCTGTGAGAATGTATGCTATGATGATGGATATATTATAACGTGTACACCTCCCCCTAGTGCCAAGTTTTCAATCAGATCGGAAGGGGGCTGAGAGCAGCATCGCTGTAGATACCCTCCGACGCCCCACAGGACCTCAGAGCGGGCATGCTGCCGTGCTTTGATTGCTAGAGCGGGGAGGATGTTTCCTTTCCTCTCTTGTGATAAGGATACACCTCTTCTTCGCCTTGTACAACAGGAGAATCAGCAGCATTTCACACCCAGAGCACAGCGCCACTGTGAAGGGAGCCACGGAAGCTGCGTCGGCCTGGGACTGGGGGAGGGCGAGCTGGATGATGGCCAGAGCCAAGAAGCTGTTCAGTGCCCCGCTTTCGATAGCCACAGTCTTGCACACAGCGGGAGGCAGTCTGCAGCTTTTAGCAGAGCAGTACCCGAACAGCAAACCCAGAGCAGGAACTAAGACACCCAACAGAAGCACCTCTGGGCTATCTGTTCTTAGAAACACCAATCCCATCCTGAACATCAAATAAATCCCCACAGACATTAAAATAAAACTCAGAGGTCTAATGATTCTCTCCAGGATGTTTGCTTTTTCAGGTGTTCTATGCTTGATGACTATTCCAGCTGATATAGGTATAAGTATGAAGAGGAGTGTTGACATAATTTTCGAAACAGGAACATGGAATGTACCAGAGAGCCCTAAGATCCTACTGTACAGGTAGGAATTGGCAGGCATCATTACCAGGGCCAATACCGTTGATGTGCAGGTCATCAAAATGGCCAAAGTGATGTCTCCTTCTAGAAGCAGAGCAAAGAGATAGCCCCCACCCCCTCCTGGGCACGTGCAGGTCATTACAAACCCAAAAGCCAGTGCTTCGGGCAATGCCAAAATCTGAGTCAAAAGAAATCCACAAAATGGCATCAGAAAAAACTGTGTAGCTGCCACCAAAATTATTGGCAAAGGTCTCTTCCATACTACGCGGAACACCTGCAATTCAATCTTGCAACCAAATGCGCACTTATTTAACAGGATCATTGGCAGAATCAGCAGTAGGATATTTCTATCCATGTGCATGGATGTCTGGAAAAGACTGTCTGGCCTCTGTTTGAGCACTTTGACTCTGACATTCTTTATTTCTTCAATGAGTCTCTCTGGCCTACCTTCAGAGTCCCACAGCTGAATGGTCAAGTTGGTCTCTCCTTCTTCCTCTGCCACTAGTTTTATGATGAAGGTTGTAGCACCGGAGGAGGCCCTGGTCACGTTCACCACCTGCAGCATTTCAGGGTCTTGGAGCCGCACAGAGAGGAAGCTGGCGTTGGGCCGCTTATCTCTGTAAGTGGATCGGACGAGGACGGTTTCTTCGGTCTTTGTGAAGAACAGTATTTCAGTCCTCGCTGTACTCAGAAAACTGAGAAATGGCTTCCTTGCTTCTCCCAGCGTCACAAAAAGCAAGACAATAAAAAGTCGTCTAATCATTTTGAAAACTTAAATCAATCATATATGCGAACGCATCAAAGACAACGAGAGAACGTTCCTGGGAGAGGCGTCCCAATGCCGGGCAGAGGCTGAGGCAAGAGTTGTTTTGCTGGATCAAAGTCCAGGAGGAGGGCCTGTACTTTCAAACAAAACCTGGCTACCTCGTGAGTGACACAACCTGCCCAACCTGTAGTTATGAAAATGCCCAAGCCCCGGCATTCTACAGCTTCAGCGGCTCACAGCAGAAACCTGATCTCTTCCTCATTTTCTGGTTTCTGCTAAGGAAAAAACAGCCTCCTCTTTCCTTGCATTTAAAAACTTACACCTTTTTTAGTTTTCTTTCTTCCTAAGGAAAATCTACACTAGAAACAGTCACAACCCAAAAATATAAAATAGATATTGAGGGGGCCTGCAGGTGGGTGAGCCATGTCAAAATCAAACGAGTATTTATTGGCCACGTTTGCTGGGTGCTGGGCCGGGAGCAGGGCGAAGCAGAGCAATCCAGCCAGTCACCGCTCCACCCTCTCCTCCTGCGGCTCACCCCGGCAGCCCCTGAACAAGACTTAGACAAGCGCAGAGCCGAGAAAATAGCCTGCCGTATCCTGAGGCGGCTAATAGATTTCCTACAACTCTGGAGAGAGTGCATCAGTTAGGCAAAATCTGAAACTGGTTTTGGAATCCTTAAGTAGAAAAACAATTTCCTGGATGGTAACCGGGGAGCTTGGGAACCTAGGGAAAGTGGCTGGCCAGATGTATGGCCAAAGGGACAGCCTGTCCCTGCTGCTGGACACCATGGGGCACTGGGAGGCCCCGGGCACTAACTCTAACACCCCTGCCTCGTCACAGCTAAGGGCATGTCATCCCACTGCCCAACCAAGGTCAGAGGCCTGTGCCTTGCCCACCGGGAATAAGGAAAAGTATTGGGGTTTTTCTAGTGAGGACTTACACCCCACATACTCCCATAATGATGTATTCCCAAACAAGAGGGGGCTCAGATTCTAAGCAGAAAAAAGGAAAGAAAAGAACAAAAATCCACTGTGACTGTCTACTATAGGGTGTCCCCAAAAAACATACATATAATTTAACAGCTGATAACTCACTTAATTTTCACTTCTTTTCAGGTTTAACTGATTTGAAATAATGGGTGAAACCAGGCTAAGCTTTGTACAAAGAAAACTTATCCTTAAGTGCCGGAGTTAAGTCAGCCTTGCTTAACTCTGGAGTGTGTGTGTACATACACTTTAACTGATAACTCACTTAATTTTCACTACTTTTTAAGTTTAACTGATTTGAACAAAGAAAATTTATCCTAACCTGCACTAGACTTTTTTTTATGGGGATACATAAAATATAAAGTTTAAGGTACAAAACTGGCAACAGTTGACAAATTGAGGGCACACAAATATCGAACGAAATGATTCTTGATGTTTGCGATTCCATTGCTTCCAGTTATCAGCAGTGCCTGGACCAGAATGGTCATCAGTTTGAAAATAGACACTGACAAAAAAATTATTCATTTCTGTAGATTCTTTTAAATATTTTTGTATTGATTTTTAGAGAGAGAGGAAGTAAGAGGGATAGAGATAGAAACATCAATAACAGCCCTAGCCGGTATGGCTCTGTGGATAGAGCCTCGGCCCTAGGACTGAAGGGTCATGGGTTCAAGTCCAGTCAAGGGCACAAACCTCAGTTGCAGGCCAGATCCCCCGCCCTGGTTGGGGAGCGTGTGGAGGCAACCAATTGATGTGCCTCTCTCACATTGATGTTTCTCTCTCCTTCTCCCTTCCATTCTCTCTAAAAATCAATGGAAAAATATCCTCCAGTGAGATTAACAACAAAAAGAAACATCGATGAGAGAGAAACATCATTGATCAGCTGCCTCCTGTACGCCCCCTATTGGGGATTGAGCCCGTAACCCAGATATGCGCCCTGACCAGGAATGGAACCATGACCTCTTGGTTCCTGGGTCAACACTCAACCACTGAGTCACACTGGCCAGGCATTTCTGTAGATTCTTTTTAAATTTTGAAGATGAACTGTTTGTTAATAAACACTGCCTTTATAATCATTCAAAGTGGGTATACATTTTTTTGGACACCCTGTATTAAACCTACAGACCTGGTAGTCTCTGAATCTATTCCCACTTCAGCAGATCCTTCATGAATCAAGGCAGAACCTGTGTTCAATGCAAGGACAGTTTGGAGTAAGTATTTTTGCACCATAACATTTGCTCCTCAAAAACTGTTAAAGCAATTTTACTGGACATTTTTTAAGTTTTTAAAAATTCTACTTATGTAGATTAGTCTTTCAAATGCAGTAGACTTTACACCTGAAACTAATATAATACTGAATGTCAACTGTAATTAAAAAATAAAAGTTTACACTTGTAAAAAATGCAATGGAACTTGTAGTTCATAAATTGTATTTGCATGTACCACATCAAGACATTGGCTGATGCTGAAAATGGAGAACAGAACTGATGTTTCTGATAGCTCAGTTAAATTCCCAGAGAACATTCCTAGTTTAAAAAGACAAAAATAAAACAGAAACTTCGTAAAACCAAAGCCATCTGTACAGCATGTGAGCAAGTATTTTAGCTCCCAGTTTTAGTTGCCCAGGTCACAGGTGTGAGGAAGGGACGTTTTGTCCTCCTGGTTGCTATCTGCACCCTTTCCCGTCACCAGGCCCTCTGGCCCTCCCCTTGCCGAAGATCTGGGGGGAATAAAACCAACACGTCCAGAAAAGCGTAATGATCTATCCGCCACACGCCTTTACTGGCTAATGACATTTCAACTGGAGCTCATTTGTACCCTTCTGTTGTTACAGCGACAGTATCGGAATTTAAAGCTGTTTGTGGGTTTCCTACTTACAATTCTAGTCGTCTGCAAGAGGTGGAAAGATACCAGGGTCGGGTGGGACCAGTCAAAACCTAACATTTCATTGCGCACACTCAACGGAGAGCCCCGCAACAACGCCCGAGAAAGCTGTCTCGTCATTTGAAGTGCGAAGCTCGGGCTTTACCTAACATTTCATTGCGCACACTCAACGGAGAGCCCCACAACAACGCCCGAGAAAGCTGTCTCGTCAGTCATTTGAAGTGCGAAGCTCGGGCTTCTCTCGCCCACAACCTGTGTCTTTAGGGGCTCATGCTGGAGCCCCATCCCTGGAGCCTGAGGAGGCTGGTACCTGTGCCTTCCAGAAGCTGGCCCGCTATCTGGAAACTGACCTCCCTCACCAGACGCGGATGCCGACTGACACCAGTCCTTCCCTCCACGCCCTGGCTCCCCTTCCCGTCTGATCACTGACAGCTCTGCCTTCGCCTCCACATGACTCAGTTCCTGCTGCCTTCCCTGCCCTCTGCTCAGCCCCACTGGGACTTTCTCTCCCATGTTTAGCCTCAGCTGAGTCATGAGACGTGTGCTGATCCCCTGGCACGTGCGAGTAATTGTGGCACGTGATAAGGTATTCCTGTGTATGAAAACTTTCTGGTGTCTGGGAATAGATTTAAGGGTTATTTCTACTTCTGGTCATACAGTTTGTGAAAAAAAAGCTGTTGGAACACAGCTATACTTACTATCCATCTGTTCATTTGGTACTTGTCACACAGCTTTGCACTGTAGTTATCACGGAAACTAGAATCAAATCCTTATCTTAGTAGGTACTCAAATAATCTCACTAATAAATGAGTATATAAGCAGCTGATGAAAGTCAGAAGCTATCTCCATTCTTTGCATGAAAATTATACGACGAAAAATTAGAGATGAAATGAACATTCCGAATTCATTCCTTTAATTAAACCTAAAGCCACTCTGCAAGTCCATGACAATTAAAATAGAAAAGGGACAAAGAACAAACAGAAATAATTTCTGTTCCCTCCATACAGTAGTCCTTGTTGAGGGTACAATGTAGTCGCTCTTGGCATGCATTTTGCTTTGGTGGGTAGAAGAGACTGCCATCGAGTCGAGCTGCGCCATCTTTCTTCTCATTTGAATCCATTCCCACAAACAAACACAGGTGGTGACGCCCAGGAAGAGAGCCTTGGTCAGAGCCATGCCCCACAGCAGGTAGGTGACAGCAGCCAAAGCACTTCTCCTCCCCAGGCCTGAGGTTCCTCATCCAGAAACTCGGAAGAGTGAATGAGACAAGCCCGCAGTTCCCGAGTCACGTACACACATCAATGCATACGCCATGGTGCAGGCACACGGAACAGCTCCACTCCCGGCACCATAGTGCTACGCTTGCATGTTACCTGCTCAAAGCAAAAGAGATACATGTATCCTGCAGAGCATCTTTCTTCCTCTGCCACAGAACGGCAACGTCCCAAAAGGGACATCGAAACACTCAGTGTGGATCCTGGAGTCAAGGTGACACGGAGCAGTCGCAGTCAAACAGATACATGTATCCTGCAGAGCATCTTTCTTCCTCTGCACAGAACAGCAACGTCCCAAAAGGGACATCGGAACACTCAGTGTGGATCCTGGAGTCAAGGTGACGCGGAGCAGTCGCAGTCAAAAAACAGCTCACAGCCCCACGAGCAACACACCTAACAAAAGCTAATTAAACACGATAACGTGCTAATAGCTGTCAATTCATAGTTAAACTTTAAAACAAAAAATTTAAATTCAATTTATAGAAAACTGATCATGGACATTATGACATAATGAAAAAAATGTAAGAGCAACTTAGAAAAATACTTATAGTATTTGTAGTAAAAGAAACTGCCTTCACAGAGACTTTTCCTCATGATTCCTGGATTGAATCCTTGAATGACTATTCCAAGTAAGAGTCGACATTCTTTAAAAACTGTTCTTCCTCACTAAGATACTCCAAGACAACATTCCCGCCGTTGTATAAGGGACAGTCCTCCCTGGCCATCCAGGCTTCCAGCGTGTGGTCCAAGGGCAACGCTTCTCCAGAAGTCATGTGACAGAGCCTTAACTTCTGTTGAGAGAGAAACGAAGCACAATGTAGCGTAACAAACACGCGTGTAGCACAGCCTAAACCCCTAGGCAGAGCTGTTACGACCCGCGGGTACCTTGGCTGTGGACTTGTTGTTGTCGTTTCTGAGACTGGCTGAAGAAGCTGCAAAGTCGATGACCTTCCCAACGCTCCAGCGCTGGCAGAAGAACATGGGTTTGCTCTTCTCTTTGCTCCCCTGGGGTAAGAAAACCTGCAAGTAGACTCTTTCCGTCTGTAGGAACAAAACAGTTACAATAGATTACATACATGAATGAGACATCTGTTTTTGTCACTTCCACTCTTCTCCTGGTCAGCGAGGGACTGCCCTCTGATGCTAAAACTGGTGGTGGGAGTACCAGTCAGAGTCGCCCAGCAGCCACCTGAATGCATGGGTAGAGGGCCTGGCCAAGGTGACCTGTGCAAAGACGGGTTATGTGACCTCAGGTAAATCAACTAAGGTCTTTCCCGGGATTTTACATTCAAACGCTGGGGTGGAAAGGGCAGCTCTCTTTCTCCTGAGATTTTAGGGCTTATTGAATTAAATAAGACTTGCCTACAGCTATCACCCAGGCCCCTCAGCCACTCCTGAACCAAGGTGGAAAAAGTCCTGTGGGATGGGAAAGAATGGGCCCAACACAGAGGGAAGTCAAGGACACAATGGGCTCTTTCTAATGCATCTGCGCCCTGGAACTCAGTCATCCTGGTGACCAGATCAATGCCACTACCATCACACGAGGGGAAAACTGTTTTCATTACGCTAGTTGGTATCAAGTTTCTGTCATTCGCAAATGAAAGATCCCTGAAACATGAAACACATCTTCCTACTTGAAAGACAATGTTTTAGAGATAGCAGGGCTTTTGAGAATAAAGAAGCTAGAAAAAAAGAAAGAAAAAATAGACAAGTTTCATAGAAGATTTGATGGTCCCTCCAGGATTCTATACCCTATATGTTTCCTCATATTGTATTTTCATGCTAAGTTAATAAATGCAGAGGGAAAAAAGAGTAAAAGCAAAGGTGTTCCTTGATTCCTAAAAATTGCTTTAAAAAGAGTTGGCTTTACAGACCAATTCCTGTCACAATGTAATTGTTGGCATAAGAGGAGCATCTCTAAGTCATAGAGGAAAGATTACAATTATTTTAGGAAACATTAGATTCAAGACCATTCCCAGCACCAAAGAACTTAGATTTGTTGAAGACCAGTGGAGTGTGTTATTATAGATAACAAGAATTAAAAGAAAAAATAAGAAATCATTGGAAGTTCAAACTCTGGGCCAACTCTATAAAATCAAAGTAATCAGAGTATAAATATGAAAAGAGAATATTAAAAAAATATAGACTCACCTAAAAAAAAGATAAATATGCTTCAAGATCACAAATGGAACAGAAATGCAGAAAGGTGAGTGGGCAGAGAGAGAGACCAGAAGGGAGTTCCTATTCAAGACCAACATGCACAATCTGTAAACTGAAATTTCATAGCAAACCAAGATGAAAATAACTAAGTGTGAAAAAGACATTTAAAAATGAGAAAAATTAAGGGATAATACCCATAAAAAAGGAACAAGAAGTTATGAAACCAAAACAGTGTGGACGAAAGGGGCCACATGCTGACCTGACGAGCTCAGGAGAGGCCTGCATGGCAGTTTTGCAGACTCGGAGACCTAAAGTAACCACAAAGGATGGTCTGAAATTAAACCTTAACTAAAAGCAGTTTTGGTGGGCAGTTACGTTCTAAGCCGATATCTTCACTGATAAGGTCAACCTTTACCGTAACTGAGCCTATCTGTCTTTTTGCATCTATGATAACATACCCTTGAAATGTCTGGGTAACTTGTGATTTCCCTGTATCTGGAGCCCCTGGGGCACAGCCAGGTGTGCTGGGCTCAGGACAGATGCAGCAGATTCTTTCAGTATCATGTTAATTGTTCCTGCACCCACCTAAGTATGTGTCTTTCATTTTACTTTTTATCCTATCACAGAGGTTTCCCCACTTCGCTTAATCCCACCTCCTTAAATCTGTCACCAATGAATTTCATGTATAAATACGGATGTAACCCTGCCATTCTCCGGAGCACTATCTCAATTCCTTGAGGTTCTGCTTCCCGGCATATGTCGACAGTTTGGCTCAAATAAACTCACAAAAATTCTTTACAGGTTTCAATGGTTTTTTTACGTTAACAACAGGCAGAAATAAAATAAGAAGCTATAAATAGCTAATAAGAAATATAAACATAAAAAAACCCACAGTTTCTGAAATTAAAAGTTCAAACAGGATAAAATTTCTCTAACCTTCCATAAAAAGGCTTACTTGATAGGGAGATGGAGTTGAGGAAGTCATCTAGAATGTAGCACAAGGAGAAAGCAAGATAGAAACTTTATGTTTCCAAAGAGGTCTGAAACTAACAAGAGTTTCCGAAGAGAAGAGATGATGGAGGAGCAATAGTCAGAGAAAAATGACATAATCTTCTAAAAGTGAAGACATAAGTTAAAATTTTAAATGTATTTCAAGGGCCAAGATGGGCAATTAAAATAAATCCATGCCCAGAAACATTGCACTGAAATTGAAAAATACCACAGGTAAAGTCTTAAAAGCCACTAAAAAAGACAGTTACCCATATAGCAATGAAAATCAAGAGACAGCACATATTTCCCCTATAACAGATCAGAGGCCACTGTACATAGATCCAAGGAAGTGAGAGTCTAATAGACAAGCAGCTGGAGCAAAGGTAAAATAGTGCACTCTCAGACAAGAAAGACTAAAAGAGTTTACCTGCACAGACTCTGAATGAATCACTAAAGAATGGAATTCAGAAAAATAAATGTAAGTCCTAAGGAAAGAAGAAACTAAAAAAAATTTGTAGATTTACATAGGTATTGATGACAATAATCTTTATGTGTGAACAAAGATGATGGATGGGAGACATTCGAGTGGATAGGCATGTCAAGCTCCTTGTGCTATTTGAGAGGATGTAATATCAAGTAACTTTAAAGAGGAAAATTGGTTTTTACTTTTTTTTAAAATATTTTATTGATTTTTTACAGAGAGGAAGGGAGAGGGGTAGAGAGTTAGAAACATCACTGAGAAACATCGATCAGCCGCCTCCTGCACACCCCCTACTGGGGATGTGCCCGCAACCAAAGTACATGCCCTTGACCGGAATCTAACCTGGGACCCTTGAGTCCACAGGCTGACGCTCTATCCACTGAGCCAAACCGGTTAAGGCGGTTTTTACTTTTATACATAAAAAATAAAAATATAAACACAAGCCTGTTATCACCATTACTATAATACATTATATTGGAGATTCTAGATCAGTGGTTCTCAACCTTCTGGCCCTTTAAATACAGTTCCTCATGTTGTGACCCAACCATAAAATCATTTTCGTTGCTACTTCATAACTGTAATGTTGCTACTGTTATGAATCGTCATGTAAATATCTGATATGCAGGATGGTCTTAGGCGACCCCTGTGAAAGGGTCGTTCAACCGCCAAAGGGGTCGCGACCCACAGGTTGAGAGCTGCTGTTCTAGATAACGTATAATAAGAAAATGAAATAACTAATATAATTACCTATATATATAAAGCCTAAGCAACCATTACGACAGTTCGCTGTGATACACACTGACCACCAGGGGACAGACGCTCAACGCAGGAGCTGCCCCCTGGTGGTCAGTGTGCTCCCACAGCCAACCTCCCACAGTCCCTCCTCCCAGCCAGCCGGCCCCATTGAGACTGGGCGAGATGGCCCCAATGGCCCCGACTGCCGGCCAGGCCAAGGGACCCCACCAGTGCATGAATTCGTGTACCAGGCCTCTAGTTATAAAATAAAAGCTATCCTGCTAATGGGGTGTGACTGCATATCTAGGAAATCAAAGGCACTAATGGTAAAAAAAAAACTTCTAAAAGTAATCATAAGAGTTTGATGATGTGGCTGAATCAGATGAATATACAGAAATCAAGACTCTTTTCTCTATATTAGCAGTAAGTACCTGAAAATAGAGGTGGACACAAATATTTTGTTCACAACAGAAATAAACCCCAAAAATAATTGGAAATGAAAATAAATAGGGAATGAGACTTAAATGAAGACAAGCATGTTACACAAGACAAGAAATATGATCTGAATAACTAGAAGGACACATAAGGCTCCTGGATAGGAATGCCACGTAATAAAAACATTATTTCTCTCAAAACTGGTAAATAACATGTAATGCAAATCCAGTATGAATCCTAAAGAAGTTTGATTTTTTCCTTTACACATTTCTTAATAGTTACTCTTGCTAAAAGTGTGTACTACCTTTGCAAATTTAAAAACATTAAAGAAAGATTTTTAAAAAGAAAAATACTAAGGATAATCACTAAAAGAAGAATAAATCAATGGTTTCTAAAAGAGTAGAATACAAGAAAACATAGAAAATCCAATCAATACAAAAGAAGACAGGAAAGAGAAATAAGGATGATGAGCAAAAATCATAAGATGGAAGAAATACATTCAAATGTATCAGTGATCACAATATATATAAATGGATTCAACTCACCTATAAAAGGGGAATACTATCAAACTGGATTAAAAAAACAAAGTCCAGCTATATGCTGCTTACAAGAGACACCCTAAAACAAAACAACACAGAAAAGTTGAACATAACATGATGAAAAAAGACATAATAGTTAAATCTTAACCAAAAGAAAACTAGTGAAACAATCTATATATACTAGTGGTCCGGGGCACAAAAATTTGTGCACTCCGGGGGTGGGGGGGGTCCCTCAGCCCGGCCTGCACCCATTCACAGTCCAGGACCCCTTGGGGGATGTCCACCTGTCCCTGGGGAGCGGGCCTAAGCTTGCAGTCAGACATCCTTCTGGCAGCCAGGGAGCCCTCGGGGGATGTCCGACTAAAGGCTTAGGCCCCCAAGGGATCAGGTCTAAACTGTTAGTTGGACATTCTTAGTACTGCCACAGAGGTGGGAGAGGCTCCTGCCACCACCTCTGCGCTGGCCAGCCATGAGCCAGCTTCTAGCTGAGTAGCACTCCCCATATGGAAGTGCACTGACCACCAGGGGGCAGCTCCTGCATTGAGCATCTGCCCCCTGGTGGCCAGTGCGCATCATAGCCACCGGTCATTCTGCCGTTCAGAATGTGCATATTAGCCTTTTATTATTATTATATAGGATGTCCCTATTTCCCCCCTTTTGTCCCCTCTACCCAGCTCTTGTCCCCCACTTCTCTCTGGCCA